CAAAGGCTTCATTATGAGAATGCTTCCTCGCATTATTGTGTAGACCTTATTTAGTCCCATCAAAAATTGGATAAGCCTTGGATCTTGTTCTGTTTTATGCATGTCTCCTTTGCCCCACATGTGCAATTGTAGCTGCACTGAGACTTGACACTCAAAGTGTTCAGTTCCTCCCACAGTCTCTTTATTCGCGTATAGTACATAGTAATGTCTTGGGAACCCTGTGCAAGGTCATTAATCTCCTTCTGAATCTAATACAACTTTGCTCCATTTGTTTGATCATAACGATCTTCTAATTCCCTCCACAGCTCAACCGAGTCATTTACATATTCTACACTATCAGAAATCTCCTTAGCGAGGGAATTGAGTATCCCTGAGGTCACCATATCATCACACCTCTCCCATTGGCGGAATTGAGGTGAATTGGGGCTATGTCTTCTAAATTCCCCATTTATAAACCCTAATTTGTTCTTAACTAACAAAGCTCGTAGCACGCTTCTTCTCCATGAGCGATATCCAATTCCATCAAACGGAACTGGTACTAAGGTCATTCCAGGACTATCAGAAGGATGGATGTAAAGGGGATTACCAGTATCGATGACCAATTGGTCATTTCTGCTCGTGCTAGGGCTCGTTTCTTCATTTTGATCGAGAGCCAAGTGCGAGGTTCCAATTTGATGAAATTGTGAAGTATAAAATCCTCAATTGAATCAGAGACCGTCAATTTTGAGATGAATTTTAGAACTGGGCAATGATCGAAGCTTTGGAGATCGACGAAGTTCAAGTGAGATTCAGAACTAGGTTTTGAAACGCTAAGAGGAATTCGAGCTGATACCCATGCTCTGATACCATAACAAAACCATACGTGCAAGCTCAGATCTACAGAGCTCCCATGGAGTCTTCTGGAAGGTTCTGAGAGAAGAGGAGAGAAGAAATAGAGAAAACAGATAAATAGAGAAACGTTTTTGTGTAAAAAATGAACCTTCATTCTATTTCAGTAACTGTACAAGTATATATATACATGTTGACCATTTGACCAAGCTAATTACTAACTAAGCCACTAACTAACTAAACAAACTAAGTATAGTGTCACATCCTTAATTGTTAACTAAGTACACGTGCGACACTTGATAACTCGCTCACGATCTTGCACAACTTGCTCATGTTCTTGCTATGTCAAGTCAGCCTTACTACACTCAAGATCGCTAAGAGAATGGAAGAAAGAATACAAGAGAATTGTGAAAGGAAGCTTTGTATTAGAGAGAACATGAATTGTTTGCTTGATAAATTACAAATGAATGGCCCCCTTTATATATTAGTCTCCTAGGGGCTAGTGTGTAAATATTAATTATTACACAAGTCCTTGATATTTATAAGATAAGGAATTTTTCTAGAATTCTCTACAAGCATAGAAGATTCCAAGGACTTTCTTAGTAAATCCATAAGGATTTAGGTTCTTTCTATGGAAATGTCCATACCTCTCTAGAATCTTCTCACAAATGCTAGCCTTCTTCTTACGTAAGCTTCCACATGGCATTAATATATGCCAAATGGTGCCTATGTGGCATGATGACATGGCGGGTCATCACACTCTCCCCCACCCAATATTGCGACGACCGCGATGCAGTGCTGCTGTATAAACTCTCGGATCTTATCTTTGAATTGCCACAAGTCTTCATATTGTTCCCACGTGGCCTCCTCTGGTGATTGCCCTTTCCAATGGACGAGGAACATAGCGGTGGCTTTTTGCCCTTGTTTTTGCCTGGTCTAGTATGATAGCCTCAATCTCCCGATCATGCGAGGCGGTGATAGTCATTGGCGCCCGGCTTGATTGGCCCCTACTCGGATCATCCTTATCTTCATGATATGGCTTAAGCATGCTGACATGGAAGACATGGTAGATCTTAAGATACGATGGCATGTCAAGCTTGTATGAGATCTTGCCTACCTTGGCGACGATCTTAAATGGCCCCTCATACTTGCGAATCAGATTCTGATGCATGCCCCGTAGTGCCTTGAACTGTCTTAGGTTAAACTTCACCATGACCATGTCCCCAACTCTATAGTATGTGGGACGTCGCTTACGGTTTGCAAACTTCTTCATCTTCTTAGCTGCCTTATCCAAGTAGGACTTAGCATTGTCGAGTTGCTCCTCCCATCCTTTGGCCATATGATAAGCCCCCAAACTCTTTCCCTCAAATGCGGCTGGTAAGGAATGTGGAGTTTGTAGTTGTTGGCCTGTGGCTAGCTCAAATGGTGTTGTCCCGTGGACTCACTCCGCTGCAAGTTATAAGAGAATTGGGCGATGTCTATGAGCCTTGCCCAATCTTTCTGATGCACGCTTACATAATGCCTCAAGTAGCATTCTAGTAAGGCATTGACTCGTTCTGTTTGTCCATCCGTCTGTGGGTGGAAACTTGTAGAAAAGTGCAGCTCCGTACCAAGTATGCCAAACAACTCTCTCCAAAAGTTTCCAGTAAAGCGGGGGTCTCGATCACTGATTATATGCCTTGGTAAACCCCAATACTTCACCACGTTCTTAAAGAATAGCTTGGCGGCTTCCTTGGCTGTGCAACCTGGTGAGGCGGGTATGAAGGTGGCATATTTGGAAAATCTATCCATGACCACCATAATAGTACCATAACCGCCGGACCTTGGTAGGCAAGTGATAAAGTCCACAGTCACGCTCTCCCATGGACACTCTGCAACTGGTAGTGGCTCCAAAAGTCCTCCGGGATGTCGTTGCTCAACCTTATCCTGCTGACATATAAGACAAGTCTGCACATAACATTCTATATCATCTCGCATGCATGGCCAATAGTAGACTGACTTAACCAAGGCCTTGGTGCAGAATTGTGAGTCCTGAAGTGAGCTAATCTTTCCAAGACAATGAGGGCGAGTAAAGGGCTACGCGAGCTGCTGAGCTGCGTGAGCTACGTCTAAGCACGTTGATATACTTACCATTGAGGGAAGAGCTTCGGACGTATGAAGGCCGTGGGGGTCATGGTGTGGTTGACTAGTGTGGGTCGCCACAAAGTTAGACACCAGAGGGTGCAAGTACGGAGGCGCTTTCCGAGCGAACACCGATAATAGGTGAAGTGCAGAGGCACGCTTGGAAGATACTTGGGGGAGAAGTGCAAGGGGCACGACTCCATTTTAAGATGGACTTTGAGGAAGTCCGACCCACAAGGATTAAGGGAGCCAGTGCACATCCCTGAGGGGGCAGACTCCGGGTTGTCGTGGGCATTGTTATGTCATCGGGGATGATGACAGATTGTGGAAGGATGTCACGCCCCGCATTTTGGGGGTCATGTCATCCATGAGTTCTGCGTGCTACAGTGTGCCAGGACGAATGTCAGTCGCGTAGGCGGCGTGTGCTGACAAAGCATTGTGAAGGAACATCCGGCAGAGGGACTATGTATGAGGCAACAACCATCAAGATATGTTGTGTTGCATGTCCTAAGTGTGCCAAGAGAACTTAGCGGGAGTTTAGGGATCTCGGCCATAGGCCTTGTTCCTAGTATACCCTTATATATGCGCGAAGGAGGGCCATTCCAATTCTCTGACCAGAACTAGACTATTGCTGAATCATGGGCTTTTTAATTTTAAGCATATATAAGAGGGGGGTATAGGTGTTGAAGCTCAACCAGCCTCCCCCGTGCGTGCTGCCATCAAGCCGCATCAAGTGAGCTACCTTGGGAGAGAACCTCAAGGGCCTGCCTGGACATCTCAAAGGAGTGTCTAAGGTATCCATACGAGATTGGGAACTCTATGGATGGCGCGACGCCTTAGGGCTAGCGTTGGGCACTAAACGGGCACTAGAGGCTTGACATGTGGGACGGTTATGCCATGCGGACTATTGAAATGACGGATGAAGACCTCCATGCCGATTGGATACTTGGAAGCACCTTTCTTAGGGGCCTCATGTGTCGACTTGTGAGCTTAGCTTAGGTTCAGCTAGGCGAACAAGGGTCTGTTGGCCTAGGCATGCAGTTGTGGGGCGACACTGCACTATGCGGGATGGAAGTATGTCACGAGGGCTATGTTTGGCGATGCCATAAGACAAAGATAGGCATGCTACGAAAGACGCACATGACAAAGGCCAAGGACTAAAGGTTGCCCTACTCGGGCGAAGCACAAGCCGGGTGCGGATGCACGAGGCGAGTGTCAAGCTTGAGGATTAGACTGTGCACGCGAGAGCGATGCTCAATGCTAGGCGAGGGACATACGTATCCTTAGCCAACTCCGGGTGTGCGCATGGATAAGATCCAGTATATGAGAAGCGCCACAACTAGTCAAGGCTATGAGCCTAGACATCATACGGGCGACACAGTTGGAGTAAGCCTCTTGGGCAAATTCCACCACAAGCACAGGATCGTGCTAGAAAACCTGGGAAAAGGAAAGACTTGCCTGTAGTGTGGGGTGACTACAGGCGCCACACGGGCAATTTGGTGCCGCTTGCGTACGGAAAAAGGTAAGCCCGTGACAATAGGCTAACTAAGTATACAACATAATAAAGAATGTACAAACAATAACTATACTCAATATACTTGAGTAGTACGAGGGGCTAGGAAATGTGTCTAATAAATTCTTCCGAAGCTAAAAAATAATAGGCACCACCTTACTAAGAACCAATTCAAATTAAACTTTAACTTGTCGTAAGGTTCATAACAATATATAATGGGAAAAAGAAATTTAAAAAACAAACAAATTTTCTCCAGCTAAACTCCATTAAAGAAAAGTATTTCATTGTTTTTTTTATTTAAACACCTGAAAATCACATTTGGAGTAAATTTTTCCTTCAATTTTGAAATAATTGATAAAACTTTTCTCTAGTGTCACTCTTTTGAAACTAATTGCCGAGATTTCTTTTTTCTAAATCTGAACAATATTTTCAGAAGAAATTCTTTCACCTCCAAAATATAATAGTAATTAAATTTGAGTTATTTGAATTATTTTATTTAATTTGGTGGAAAAGGCAAAAATATCTCTTTCCCTGCTCATCTGCACTTGACCCTTGTTCGTCTAACCCCACCCCCACGTGACGCTACAAACCTCACCCCGACCTTACTCCTGTTGACTGTGTACTCTTCCTACCTCCAAAAAAGCTCTTCTGAATCGTCAATGGAAGATTCTCAGTCTCAGTCTCAGTCTCACTACTTCCAGCAGTACAGCCACTCATCTCCACTACCCTCCATCAATGAGTCTTCGGAGCAGCAACTCAAAATCTCTAGCTGCGATGCTTCCGCCGTTGGATCGAACAGCAGTAGAGGTGCTAAATATAAGCTCATGTCCCCTGCTAAGCTCCCGATCTCTCGCTCCACATGTATCACTATCCCTCCTGGTCTCAGTCCTTCTTCCTTTCTCGAATCTCCCGTCCTCCTTTCTAACATCAAAGTTAGTTCTCTTTTTTTTTTTAAACCGTTGTTGAAGAAATTTATTCTTGCGATTAATATTCTGAGAATTTCACATTCAGATTCGGGATCCGATACCCTAATTAGATGCTTTTTGCTTAATATAGTTGTGCTATGTTCAATTTGAGTAGAATGCTAACCTAAAAATTCGTTTTCCTTATTTAATTGCATCATTAGTTTAAGTTTTAGATAGTGCTTTATTCACCTAATAATAATATTCTGGAGAGTGGAGGACCGGAGGAATTTATTGATGTGATCGCTACTTTTTTTAAAGTACGTTTGGAATTATTGATTAGATGTTTGGTTGTCTTCATTACATTGCAATTTGTTCGCTTGATCCTTTTTCTCTGACATGAGTGCTATTTTTTTTACTATGGTTGCTCGCACCTCGAATATTCCACTAGTACGCACTACCTCCCACCAACATAGGTACCAAATAACTTTGCCCATCAAAGGTTAGGAAGATAGGAGAATCACCTAGTATTTTTTGCCTTATTGAACTTTAGACCTCGTGGTTCTTCTCCCGTGCGGAATATGTATTAATATATGCTTACATATGTATATATGAATTTTTGTGCTATTTGCATCCGTTGGTTCTGATGCTTACATTAGCAAAGCTGATAGTATTATTCCTCTAGATTTTTGTAGAATATATATTCTTTCTTCCTCTACATGTTTAGTCGTCAGTTTTGTTTCTTCACATGTTGAATCTCCCTTTTGGCAAGGTGCTCAACTTACCACTAAGTTGTTCCCTAGAGAAAAAGTATATTAGTGTTGTGAATGTGACCGTAATAATGGCACCAGAGAGTTTTCTGCTTTTTTGTTATTCTAACCAGTAAGATTATTATAAGCATGCCTGTTGTATGTGTCATTTAAGCAGTATGGAAAGGTTCCAACTTTAATGGCTGGTGATGAATAACTAAGAAACTACTATAAGTGACATCTATCTTTCTTGAAAGTATCGTCACCCAAACTGATAAAGATACATTGCAAAGAGAGAAAAAGGGTTTCTCCCCCCATAAAGAAGCAGGAAGCTGAGAAAAAGAGGAATTATTTTGATCACTTTGGTTCAGATGGTCTGGCTCTTCCCCGGACCCCGCGCATAGCGGGAGCTTAGTGCACTGGGCTGCCCTTTTTTGGTTCAGATGCTATTTCAATTGAGAAAGAATTTTTTGATCGACGAATAGTAATTTCACTTATAACCTGCAGGCTGAGCCGTCCCCGACCACAGGTTCCTTCTCCAAGTTTCAACTAATGCAAGGCTCTAGCGGGAGTGCTGCCTTTTCATTTATGAGAAGCTGTTCCAGTGGAAATGCATATGGAGAAACGACCGGCGAATTTGAGTTTAAATTTGCTATTGGATCTAGTTCTACATCAGGATCACTGGCGAAGGAAGCTGCGGTAATCCCCTTATGACTGTTATCCTTGGCAATAAATCACCTAACTCTTGTTCAAAGCCTAAGTGTGTGAAGTAGATTAGACACAGGGAAATACAAGAAGAGCACTATTGAATATTACTCCCTACTCTCCGTCCCATTTTATGGGATGCAGTTTGATTGGGCGCGGAGTTTTAGAAAGAAAGAAAGACTTTTGAAGCTTGTGGTCTAAAACAAGTCATAGGTATTTGTTTGGCATCAAGGGTAAAATGAGAAATTTTAAGTTAAAATTGTTTCTAATTATAGAAAGATATCATTCTTTTTATCGGTATATGAATTGGGATAGATGGAGTAATTATTTTCTCTGCCAACCTTTAAAACCTCACAATTGCCAAAGTCCACTTCATAAATCGAACCGTGCTTGATTCAAAAATTGCTTTAATAATCTGACTTTGGTGTTCTTGAAATTCTTCCTCTCTCAGCTACAATATCTCATTGGTGAAAGGATTAAGACATAACCCTTTGCACTTAATACCTGTTGTATGCTTTTAATTTTAACATGATATGGAAGGGGAGCCTTGGCGTAACTGGTAAAGTTGCTACCATGTGACCAGGAGGTCACGGGTTCGAGCCGTGGAAACAACCTCTTGCAGAAATGCAGGGTAAGACTGCATACAATAGACCCTTGTGGTCCAGCTGGCTTTACATGAAAAAGAATGGAATACAGCTTTTAAAAGTCCAGTCAAAAGGTGTTAACTTATTGCCAGAAAAATGATGATTCAGTATTGATTTGCCCCATGTATTTGGTTTGCATATCTGGTGCCAATTTCTTCTTCTCTGTTTTATTTATTTTCTTATGCAGTTGTGTGCGTGTGGATGAAATGCTCATACTTGACCGATACTTGGGGTTTGGAAGGAGTTCCTTTTTTTTCTACATTTTATGGATTTAATGGCGGAGAGTCCAACAGGGGATTGAATTATTCCCTGCATATCTTTGATTTCTTTTGCCCCTTCTAATTAATTTTTTCTTCTTTTAGAACCTCAAGCTACATGCGAACCTCATTATTATCTTAACCAAGTTGAATCTAGTTAGTTCCTAATACACTGTTGTAATGAAGACCTTTGCAGGTTTGAACCAACAGCAAAGTGAACCCCTGAATCAAATTCAAGATCGATGTCTTTCTCAGTCATTAGCACCTTCAGCTCTTGTTAAATGTGAGATGCCTAATTCAAAAGAAGTGAGTCAACCTGCACCTGTTAGTTTAGATGCCTCGTCCTTTAGTACTGCCGCTGCTGATCCTGCTGCAATTGATAATGAGGAAAAAAGTCAGAGAGGTCACTCAAATCCAAGCTCGCAAGGGTCACATGCTGATAATAGAGATGTTTCATCAATAACAGCTGAGAGATCATCAGATGATGGGTATAACTGGAGAAAGTATGGCCAGAAACTTGTTAAAGGTAGTGAATTCCCAAGGAGCTACTACAAATGTACATACCCAAACTGTGAAGTTAAAAAGATATTTGAGCGCTCTCCTGAAGGACAAATAACAGAGATCGTCTATAAAGGTTCACATGATCATCCTAAACCCCAACCCAGCCGTAGGTTTACACCTGGTGCTCTTATGTCCATCCAGGAAGACAGAAGTGAGAAAGAAGCATCTTTCACTGGTCAAGAAGGTAAAGTGAATAGCTATTTAAGGGTTGTTTCCCTTCAACAAATGCATGGCATGGTAGTTTTTATTGAGGCTTCCTTATTCTCATATGGAGTTATTCCTCTCTCTCGTTTATCTTTGTTGAAGACAAATTCAACGCTAATGCCTACACCAGTAACATTGAACCCAGTAGTACTCCAGTATCACCTCGACCAGCAGACGATGATGGTCTTGAAGGTGCAGTGTCTCAGTTGCAGAGCGCTAGTGATCAGCTGGACGAGGATGATCCATTTGCAAAAAGAAGGTAAGTACTAAAGAAAGGCCCTAAAGTTATTTCTATGATGTAATTTGATTTTAACAATTGAGTCTTTAAGCAGGAAAATGGATGGTGGGATGGATATTACACCAGTTGTTAAGCCTATCCGTGAACCACGCGTTGTTGTTCAAACTGTGAGTGAAGTTGATATATTGGATGATGGATACAGGTGGCGGAAATACGGTCAAAAAGTGGTCCGCGGAAATCCTAATCCCAGGTATGAAAATCATTCACTGCGACCCCCTTTTATGAGGAGGCACCCCTTCTCTCGAAGTTACGGGGCTATTTTGCCGAGTTCCTTAGAGAGAGTTGTCTTGTTCCCCTAGCTATTCTCTACCTACCAACCTGTGTCAGTTTCGGGTACAAGTACCCTCTTGCTCAAAGTCGTTCTAGCCCTGTGGCGTCTAATGCTAATGTCTGAAGTTCAAGTTGGTTAAGAGGTTGTTTCATGGTCCGAATAGATTAACTTTTTTTGGGGGAGTTTCCCAGAATGTTCTCAGCCATCTTTCTAGTCTACTCAAAGGATTCCCCTCTCAATAGAAGTGTTACTTAGCAAAGGGAAGAGATATATATTCAATTGTTTTGGCAAGATGAGATGTAGCGGTGATATCTAATTGAACTGGGAAAGTAATTGACAATCCCATACAGCCATAGCAGGAAAGATCTTAGGAAGTCATCTGTTATAGCAGAAAGCCTTGGGTCTGTGCATAATCAGCTTAGAATGATAAGCCATTTCAAACTAATTAGACTTTCTTTAAATGAAATCTTAGATGATTGTGTACTGACTGTTGAGAAGTGATTTGAAACATTTATATGTCAATTCTTGTTGCTTGGTAGCCATGTACATAAATCAAATAAAATTTATCATGCGAAATAAATATATTTAGCTCTCCACCGCTCCCTCCGCCCATCTAGCAGTGACTGCTGATCAATGTCGACCCATCTCCACCTAAGTTTTTTGTGATATATTCTGTTATATTATTTACACTCAGTCTTTTTCCATTAGATTTGTTTTTGGTCTCAAATCCTCTCCTATTTATGTGTATCGTAGAGTTAATAATATGTATAAAAATTGGTAGCGGGAACAATAGATTGATGGAGATGATTCTATTTTATGTAGCACTCTTTCCTGTTTAGTTTATTCCAAAGAAAATCACACCTTTAAAAGTTCTTTATTTTTAACTTCCATTTTACCGTTAATGACTTTTCTCTTATACCCATAGAAATATCATGGCATGTTTAAGACCACAAGTTCTAGTAGTACTTTTGGTCTAAGTTGCTCCGATACGGCAATTTAGGTGATGCACTCGTGTCGACACTACTAGTATGGGTGTGTGTATGAGATTGGTACCGGATCTGGTCAAACAATTTTGGGTACTTTGACTACGACAAATAGAAAAATTCGAGACGAGATACAATTTGATTCCCAAAATCAGAACCAAAACTAGGGTAAATTTGAAGAATATAGCATACCTTATCTAGGAAATTAATCATTTACTTTATCTACAACTTGAGAAAAGAAATCCGCACTTTACAAGCGATACATAAGTATTTGACAAAATTTCTCATAATTTAGAGATATTTTTATATTTTTGAATTATTTTTAGCCGGATCCCGCACCCGTATCCGCACTGGGATCCGTATCCTCGAATCTTAGAATTTACATCTTGAAGGATCCGGCCTCTAGATCCGCACCCATGTCGGACACCCGCACCCGTGTCTGAGCTACTTAGCTTTTGGTATGTTCCAAAAGTCTTTGTTAAACTCCATGCCCAGTCAAACACCGGATATAAAATGATCCGGCTAGAGTTGTTAGTTTATTCATAAAGTTAGACTAACAGACTTGCAAATAAGTATAAAAAAGTTAGATTGTGGTTGGTTTTCTTTCTTTTTTTTTTGGAAAAATGGTAAGGTGATAGTTTTTCCTTTTCTGGCAAGTACGGTTAGGGAATGAACTTGGTGGTCTAACTTCACACTTTTGCATGATGAACCTCCTATCTAACGTCAATCCACCCCTTTATCGCATGAACCAAAGCTGAAACAATAAAAAGTAATCCCCTCTTAATTAGCACCAATGAAGTGGGTTAGAACCATGAGGTTTCAGGTTCAATTCCCAATGGAGACAAAAAATACTAGGTGATTTTTTCCCATCCGTCTAAGCCTTGGTGGATAAAATTTCCTTGTACTTGTTGCTGGTGGAAGGTAGCAGGTATCCCGTGGAATTAGTCAAGATGTGCACAAGCTAGTCCGGGCACCACGGTTATAAAAAAAAAGTAATTCTCTCTTAATTACATACTCCTTCCGTTTCATATTAGATGAGGTAGCTTAACTCGGCACGGAGTTTAAGAAAAAAGAAGACTTTTGAAACTTGTGGTCTTAAAAGCTTAAGGGATAAAAGGTTTGTGGGGCCATGACATTTGTGTGGCTATAAAAGCTTCTCGTTAAGGGTAAATGGGTAAAATGAAGAGTTTAAAGTTGAATTATTTCCAAATTTAGAAATGTGTCATTTGTTTTGGAACAGACTAAAAAGGAAAGTACCTCATCTAATATGAAACGGAGGGAGTATTATTCTTTTTTTTGATAAGGTAAATTGTATTAATCAAAAGGGAGAGAACTCCCGTATACAAGAAGTATACTAAAAAGTAGAGAATTTACATCAGAACATGATTCTCTACAAAAGATGCCCAATCTTCTATACAAATGGGGGCTATATGAGTGCACCAAAAAGCGATCAAAGATAAAAGACTATTCTTAAGATGTGAAAAAGGAGACTCAATCCCCTCAAAAGCTCTCCTATTTCTCTCCCCCCAAACTATCCACATGAGAGCTAACAGGGCGAACTTCCACGCCTTTTGCTTTCTTCTTCTACGGAAACCGGCCCAGCTATATAGCATTTCCTTTATAGTGCTTGGCATCACCCATTGAACACCAAAAAGGTTCAGGATCGCCCTCCACAAAACCGAGGACACTGGGCAATGCAACAAAAGATGATCAACTTCTTCCCCTGAGCTTTTACACATATAGCACCAACTAACAAGTGTAATTCCCCTCATTCGCAAATTCTCAGCAGTCAAAATCACTCCCCTCACCGCTAGCCATGCAAAAAAGCACACCTTCTTGGGCGCCTTAGGAATCCAGATCGAGGAGTATGGAAAAGAGGCCTCCTCTCTCACCAACATACTCTGGTAAAAGGACTTTACGGTGAATAGACCATCGCCACGCAAACCCCATCTCCAAGAATCACAAGATGGCCGAGGCAAGTCTTGCCCATATAGCAGTGTCAATAAATCTTGGAGCTCCGCAATCTCCCAATCTTGCATGTTCCTTCTAAATGAGAGGTCCCATACTACCCCCTGCATGTTCCTTACGAATTTGTTGGACCATCTATTCCTTTTGGTTTGAAACTCTGAAGACGTGGGGGAAGGAGACCCTCAGAGTATCCTCTCCACACCACCTATGATTCCAAAAGTTGATTCTCCTTCCATCTCCCACCTTGTAAGAGATGTTGCCACTGAAGGATTCCCAATTCTTCATGATGCTCCTCCACATGCCACACCCGAAAGGTGTTGTGATTGCCTTGGTCCTCCAACCCCCTCCCGTGGAATCGTACTTTTCTACTGTGACCTCCCTCCATAGAGCATGCTCTTCTACCCCGAATCTCCATAGCCATTTCCCCAACAAAGCTTTGCTGAATACCCTAAGATCTTTTACTCCAAGTCCACCCCACTTCTTTGGGGAAGTGATTGTCTGCCATTTCACTAGATGATACTTTCTAGTTCCATCCGCTGCATCTCATAGAAAATTCCTTTGAAGCCGCTCCAGTTTTTCTGTGATGCTCACAGGAGCTTGCAACAGGGACAAGTAATAGGTGGGCATACTCGATAAAGTGCTTTTAATGAGCACTTCCTTTCCGCCCTTTGACAAGTACCATTTCTGCCAGCCTGCTAATCTTTTTTCAACCCTTTCGATCACTGGATTCCAAACCGTAGTATCCTTATGCGAAACGCCCAATGGGAGACCCAGGTAAGTAGTAGGAAGGGAGCCCACCTTACATCTGAGAACATAATACAAAGCATCAATGTTAGCAACCTCACCCACGGGGAAAATCTCACACTTGCCGAGGTTGATTTTGAGACCTGATACTATCTGAAACCACTGCAGGACCTGCTTCAGGTAGGTCAACTGATCCATATCGGCATCACAGAAAACCAGGGTGTCATCCGCAAAAAGCAAATGGGAGACACTTCGGGCCCCGGGCACCCCGATCGAAGCTGAGAATCCTCTCAAGAAGCCTCCGCCCGCCGCTCGATCCCTCTTCCTTATCCAACCGACATACCAACACTAAGAAACCAAGCTGCATTGCATTTGGAGGCTGGTTGGCTTGGGATCCTGAGAGATAAAATCCTTTGGAAATGCAGGTATCTCTAGTTTATCCTCTCAACCACTCAACCACTTATCTCTGAGGTAGGAACTTGAGCTACTCTATGAATTCTTGTGTTGGTTGAAAGGAGATAGGTTGACATCTCTTCTGACAGGGACAGGAAATTCTTTGGGAATTTACCTCCTACAAGACACATCCGGCTAACGCTATTCACTTGGGTGGATCTTATCCAATTAATCTTTTTTTAAAGAAGGTAACAGATTTTATATAAATTTTCAAAATGTAACTGTTAGCACAAAGACTGTGCTTAGAGAAACAAAATACAGGAAGCCCCAAAAGCAAAAACCTAGTCCTGTACTAGTTACAATGCCCCAATGATGTCATTAACTGAATCTACATCTTCTACTAGGGCCTCTTTACACCAGAAATGAAACAAAAATATACAATTCATCTTGATCTTCTGTTCAGAGTTAGCTACATATTGAAAACACCTTGAATTTCTCTCCCTCCATACTGTCCACTAGATGCATGGTGGGATAATTCTCCACCATCTCTTCTGTCTCACAAAGTTGTGTGGATCATTCCAACATGCTTACAACTCAGCAGTTTTCCAAGGCATTGTCCATCTGAGTTCTTTCATACTCATAAAGAGTTGTCACAGAGTACTGGTAACTTTGCAATGGATAAACAGATGACTATTTGTTTCCATCTCTCCCCCACACAAAAAAAGCATTTAGAACACAGCTGTGTCCCTCTCTTCATCAGGCTGTCCTGTTAGAACAGCTTCTTTAACCACAAGCCAGCAAAAGCATGCTACTTTGTATGGTATCTTATCCAATTAATCTTAGGAGAGACAGTCTATAACTCAGCGTATCTGGATATATATTCTTTTTGTCAAATCCTATTCTTAGACAGTCACAGCGTGCAATTTGATTTTGCCTAGTGGCAGCAGTGACATTATTGAATATATTGATAATACTTTGACAACTTACTTATTTTTTGGTTGGAATTTCCTTGAGAGGTTAATTACCACTTGACTCCCTGCAAGTTAAGTTAAAGCTACGGCATTTGAAGCTACTGTTGGAGAAGCAGTCACTTAAGCAATCATTTATTTGTTTTTTACCATATCTAAACGGATCCAACATGTCCTTTTCTCTGCTCATTTAGTTATTGGCACTCTATAGTGCCTTAATAGCATAATGGCCTAAATTATTTGGAGGTCCTACTTCAGCCCTGCCATAGCCTTGTAACTGAGGTGAGTCAAGGCAAGGTTAAACGTGCACCTGCATGATTGTGCATGAACCTTCTGCCTTTAATGTATGGNCCCCGTCAAAAAAAAAATAAAAATTGCATCTTAGCAAACGAACATTTCAGAATGAGCTGAATGTACTTCTAGTGAAACATTTAAGTAGAGGATGAATGGTTCTCTGGCTTAAATGATTATTTTCAGATAAATGTTTGATCAGGAATAAGTAAATAAAAACTGATGCATGAATATCTGATCTCCTAAACTTTGTTCTGATACTTAAAACAGCCTCAAACTCAAGTAGCTTTCATGGTTGGAAGTTGCTAAACTGAAGACTGAGCAGGCAGAGAGACCTTGTGTCTAACAATTTGTCAAATCTCTGATAAACTTTTGAATATCCTTGCATGAAGGACCCACTGATGTTTTAATTAATTTGGCGTACTTTATGTTGGGAGGTGAAAGAACCTACATTTGTTGACCTCTCTTTCAATTTTGTCTTGTTTATGGAGGAAGGGTGGTTATTCGCTATCATTTTAGCAAAAGTAAATTGTTCGTTTACCTTTAAACCTGCAAAGTATCCAAAATTCAATGAACCGTGTTTTTCTTTTCTTCACTCTAGCGATAAGTTTCTTATCTTTTCTAAAGGTATTCATATGAATGTGATGCAGGAGTTATTACAAGTGCACCAATGCTGGATGCCCTGTCAGGAAACATGTGGAGAGGGCATCCCATGATCCCAAAGCTGTAATTACTACCTATGAGGGGAAACACAATCACGATGTACCAACAGCTAGGAATAATAGCCATGAAATGGCAGGATCGGCGCCTGTAACTGGAAGTTCACGGGTCAGGGCAGAAGAGAATGGCTCAATTAGCTTGGATCTAGGTGTTGGCATAGGATATGGTATGGAGAATAGGAGCAATGGACAACTTTACACACGGCCTGCAGAAAGTGTACGTAACCAAGTTCAGGTTTCAAGTTCTAGTGTGATGGTAGTACAACCAGCTGCTGTTGCAGCCAGCTATGGCATTGTAAATGGTGGCATGAGTCGATTTGGATCTATAGATAATCGTATTCAGGGCACGGGCTTTGAGTCTCTGCCCTTGCAACCTTCTACTCAATGCCATCAAAACTATGGAAGGATAATTTTGGGCCCATGATTGTTTCCGCCTTCAAGCAAAAGCTTAAAAATAAGAAGCCTCCATCCATTTTCTTTTTCTGCTTCTTGGTGGATTACAGAGGGCTAATCTCTTTGGAGTAGTAACACAGCTTCAGATTTGAGAACCTAGCAGTTGTATGATACGGCTTCAAAAGTGTTCATTGTGTACTTGGCTTGTTATATGCTACCATTTGTAACAGTTATCGATATCTGAGCAAATGTAAACGTCAATATGTTCACGCAACAGTAGACAGATTTTGTTTGGCCTTGCTGTGAGGAATGGGCGGAAAATTTATAAATGACCAGTTTTACGCCTAGTCAATCAAATTTAGCCACATAATCAAAGGTCAACGATATTTAGCCGCGAATTAAGCACGGTAACAATTTGTTGACTAAAATACCCCTACTATGTTTATTAAATTTACGCGACTTGACCTTATATTCTTCTTTAGCAAAATCTTCCGGCGTTAAACTGAAAATCGAAGTAAGCTCTCTCAATTAAATCTATCTTCTACCACCACAGATTTAATTGTGATTCTCTACAATTCTTCTGTTTGTAATTCAAACCAGAAAATTCTCTCAATAAATTTTTTTGATTCTTCGAATTTTCTGCAAATCGAAGTAAGTTCTCTCAATTAATGCTTTAATCTGTGTTATTTTGACACATTTTCTCAATGCGTTAATTTGTGCTTAATTGTATTAAATTTCTTTTCTGTAATTTAGATCGTAACTGTTAAAATCTGCATTGTTCAAAACCACAAAAAATAATATAAAATCCTTCAGAACATAACACCAGTATAATTAGCTGGATTTTTCTAAATTAATATGTAAAACTTAGACACTTCCAGTATAATATACTGGAAGTATGTTTGACTGCAATATAACATCTAAATATCTAATTATTTGGGCTCCTANTTCCTGTATATTTTGCTGGAGATGTACCTTGCGGAATTATAATGTCCAGTATTTTATACAGGATGTTCACAAACCAGATATTTTACCCAAAGTTTGCTAATTTAACTATTGTTGTATTTCTTATTTTAGTTGCTTCCTGATAATTATACTGAAAAATCTAGTTATTAAGCTATATAGGCCAGTATATTGTAATAGAGATGGGTAAGACAATTTATAATTTGTATCTACTATACTTTGCTCGAATTATAACTCCAGCTTATTATTTGGTTTCATTAAATATAGGATGCATACAAATTTCTTGCTTATCGCATTCGATGGCAAATGGACATCAGATTACAAGTACTTAGATCATAAAACAAAGCTTTTCCTTATAAATGATGGGACTTCGTTTGAAGAATTCATGAGTAAAATTTTTGAAGTTATGGAGTTCAACAACAACAAGTTTGAAGCAAAAGTATGGCTTAATATCAACCTAGGTACTGCTAAGGGAATACAAGTGACAAAAGATGAAGATCTTAGCTTGTGTATGATGCTTTTAAAAAATGATCCATACTATAAAGGTTCCAAATTTGTTGTTGAAATATCAGAAATACCAGATCAACAACCAAAAGGTAATGCAATAATGGAAATTGACAATCAATAATTATTGCACAGAAACACATATGTTCCGGAAGAGCAGGTAATGCTGATATCTGAAGTAGCAGAAGATGCCAATTTATGACATTACAATGGAAAATGAAATTGTAATTCCTGTGGAAGATCAACAGATTGAATCACTAGACACTATTGAAGAAAGAAAAAGGAAAGTAAAAGGAAAGGCAAAAGAATCCCCATCAATAATACTAAAGGAAAATGCATCATTGGATGATGTAAAACTCGGGTCAGTTTTTCAAGATAAAAATGCTATGATTAGATGTTTTTGCTTAGCAGCTATAAAGGAGCACTTTGAGTTTTATGTTAAGAGGTCAAGTAACACAAGATATTCTTTGGTATGTGCTGATGAAAAGTGTGGTTGGACTGTTCGAGGTTCAAGAATTACAGAATCAACACTTTTTAAAATAGTTAAATTTCAGAGAACACATGAGTGCTCGGTTGATATTAGAAAATCACACCAAAGACAAGCAACTTCAAATGTGATTAGAGATTATATGATTAACAACTTAAGGGACATAGCTACTGAAGTAAAGCCTAAGTTTGTCATTTCGGAAATGAAAAGAGCACATGGAATAGATGTTGGTTATGGAAAAGCATGGCATGCTATTCAAAAAGGGTTATCTTTATTAAGAGGAACAATTGAACAGAATTATGAGCAACTGGCATCATATTTGTATATGATCGAACAAAAAAATCCTGGATCATATACTAATATTCAGAGAGATGCAGAAAACAGGTAAATTTCTTATGTTTATGTATAAAATAGTGGCCTTCAAAATTTAGGAATAAATTTTGTCCAGTATATTATACTGAATTCTCGTGTGAATGTTTGTCCTCCAGTATGTTATAGGGGATATTTTATGGGATGTTTTCCTTGTGTAAGCTTTCTCTCCAGTATATTTTATGGGATATATGCCTTGTGTAAGCTTTTACGGGATGTCCTCCAGTATATTTTACGGGATGTCTGCCTTGTTTAAGTTTTCTGTCCAGTATATTATACTGGATGAGTTCTGTTTAACCTAGAAGTTTGTTTTATTTGTCATTACTTTTTTGAGTGATTATTCGTCTTCTTTTCTTATTATGATCTTTAATCCAATATATAATATTTGAGTTTTGTTTGATTTCAGTATATTTTAATGGAAGTCTGTCGTCTTTAAGCTTGTTGTCTAGTATGTTATTAGTATTCAGCTTGTCATATGGTATAACTGAAAGTTATTTACTTTTCAATCGAACAAGTTTGTTTACTTGTTTTTCATGTATGGGGCATCAATTTCTGGGTGGAAGTATTGTAGAACACTTATTGCAGTTGATGGAACATTTCTAAAAAATAAATATAGAGGTGTTCTGTTAGTGGCTGTTACAAAAGATGCAAATAACCAGATTTTCCCTATAGCATTTGGGGTAGCGGATTCAGAGAATAACGAATCATATGAATGGTATTTCAGAGAATTAAGAAAAGCAATTGGGATTCGTAAGGATTTAATGTTTTTGTCAGATCGACACAAGGACATTGCAAATGGTATTGCAAAAGTTTTCCCTGAGTGCTACCATGGTATTTGCATATATCATTTAGAAAAGAATCTGAAGCAAAGAAGAGTGAGAAACACTGTACTAAACCTTTTTCAAAGTGCTGCAAGAGTATACCTTCAATCAGAATTTGATGACTTCATGTCCCAAATAGCTGCTGTTGATAAGAAAACATTCAATTATTTGATGGAGGAACCACCAGGAAGGTGGGTTCGTTCACATTTTCCGAGAAGACGATATGATATGTTAACAACAAATATTGTTGAGTCAATGAATAATGTTTTGAGACGTGCAAGAGAATTGCCACTTTTAACAATGATGAATTTCATACAAGAAAAGTTGCAAAGCTGGTTCTATGAAAGAAGGACAACTATAGAAGAAATATTCCGTGAGATATCAAATTGGGCAGAAGCAACATTGGAAGAAAAAATTAAACTAGCTTTTACAATTAGAGTATTGCCCATTGATCGACTCAAATTCAATGTCAAAGAAGGGGGTATGGAATTTATTGTTGATCTAGACAAAAGAACACGTGATTGTTGTCAATTTCAGCTAGATGAAATATCCCGTGAACATGCAATTGCTGCAATTGACAGTATATATCAAAAGAAATCGGCCTTTTGCTCAGCCTATTATTCAAGGGACTTTTGGTTGAAAACATATGAAGGGCAAGTAAATTCTGTAGGTGATTCATCAACATGGGTTATACCAGACACTATTAAATCAGAAATCACTAAGCCTCCAGATGCAAAAGTAATGCTAGGAAAAAGACAGAAGAATCGACATGTTTCCGGTACAGAATTCAAGAAGGAACCAAGATGTTGTCGCTGCAAACAATATGGGCATAACAGAACAAATTGCACAAATTCTGCTGTAGTTCATCCTTATGCAAGAAAATACAGGAAAACAAATGATTGATTATATACAATAAGGTTGCATTGTCTGATATGAAAAAGTGATTGTAATCCCGAATAATTTGTTTGGTATTCTTGTTTTTTAAAATATTATTACTGTCTATTTTTTTTTGTTTCTTGATTTGCTGCAAAAAAAAATTGGTTTATGATGTTCCAGTATAAGATACTGGACATTAAAATTTCGGAACGTATAGCTCCAGCAAAATATACAGGAACATAATTTTAAATTATTTAATTACAGTAATTTTTTCTAATTACCAATTTTGCACTATTTTACACTTCTCCATTATAATATACTGGCTTATATCCCTTCATAAGTAGAATTTCCAGAATATTTTATACGGAGTAACCAAAATTGGTCAAATTTAGCTTAAAAAATTCTGAATTTTTCAAGCCCAGTATTAAATACGGGACATAGTGGTTTAAAAATATATAACTGCAGTGTCATATACAGGAAATAAAAGATTAAATTATGTAATTCCAGTAAATTGTACTAGATACCAAGTTTTCACTATTTTCCAGTTCTCCATTATAATATGCTGGCTTATATGCCTTCATAAGTAGCATTTCCAGCATATTTTATAGGGAGTAACCAAAATTGGACGAATTTAGGATAAAAAAATCAGGATTATTCAAGTCCAGTATTAAATACAGGATATCATGTTTAAACAACATATAACTCCAATGTAATATACATGAAACAAAATAATTAATTATTTAATTCCAGTAAATTGTTCTAATGTGACGACCCAAAGGGTCATCACCGGTTTTCTCCCTTTTTTAGTGCTTTCGAGGCCTTGAAAACCTCACCTTTAGTTGCCTCGATTTGCGTGCGCAGCTCGGGCACGTAGCCGGAAAAGTTTATGTGTTAAATTATGTGAAATTTGATAAATTGTGGCTTTAAAATGGTTAAAGTTGACTTTGGTCAACATTTTGGGTAAACGGACCCGGAACCGTGATTTAACGGTCCCGGAGGGTCCGTAAAAAAATATGGGACTCGGGCGTATGCCCGAAATCGAAATCCGATGTCCCGAGCCCGAAAAATGAATTTTTAAAAGAAATAGTTTTTCTGAAATTTATTTGGAAATTTGAAATAAAAATGAATTAGAAAGCATTGGTATCGGACCCGTATTTTGGTTCCAGCGCCCGGTACATGTCTTATATGTGGTTTAAGCGCTTCCTGTGAAATTTGGTTGAAATCGGACGTCGTTTGACGTAATTCGGACTTGAATTCCTAAATTTGAAAGTTTATGAAGTTTGATAAAAAAAATGATGATTTTGAGGCTTGATTCATTGATTTTGATGTTATTTTGGCAATTTGATCGCTCGAGTAAGTTAGTAGGATGTTATTGAGTTAGTGTGTGTGTTTGGTTAGGATCCCCGAGGGCTCGGGAGTGTTTCGGAAGTGTTTCGGAGTGGTTTTGGCCTTAGAAAAGTTGCAGAAAATAGCAGTTCTGGTGTTCTGTTATCCAGTGCTATGCAAACGCATAGGCCTTTCCGCGATCGCATAGAGTGAGTTTTCAGGTGCCCTGTTTGTTCTATGCGGTCGCATAGATCCTCCTGCGATCACATATAGTAGCCACCATTTGTTATATGCGATCACATTCCCCTTCCGCGATCGCAATGCATAAAAACCAAACCCGGAATGGAGCCCTTTTTCTTCTATGCGTTTGCATCAGCCCTTCCGCGATCGCAATGACCAGCTTCCCCTTACCCTATGCGATGGCATTACCTTCTTCGCGATCGCATAGGGCATTTTTGCCCAATGATTTTAAATACCCAAAACAGAACAGTGGCGAGGTTTAGTCCATATTTCACACGAGTTCTTCTTCTCCACAGCTCTTGAGCGAATTTTTTAGCACTTCTTCACCAAAGCTTCTTGGGTAAGTAAATTCTCACTCATTTCCTTCATCTTCCTTCATTAATTAATGATTTTCTAAACCTAAATCATGAAATCAAAGTAGAGATTAGGGGTTTTGGGTAGAGTTAGGTTTTTGAGAATTTTGAGTGATTCAACCTCAATTTGGGGTCGGATCTTAAAATAAATTATATATTTGAACTCATGGGGTTATGTGTAATCGGGTTTTGGTCCGAGCCTCGTGTTTGGATCATGTGGGGCCGGGGTCGAATTTTTGTATTTTTGGAAGAATGCTAGAAACTTCATATCTAAGCTATGGGATTTTGTTATCGAGTTTTTATTGATATTATTGAATTAATTATGCCTAGATATCGTTGTTTCGGAGTCGGATTATAAAGGAAGGGCGGTATTTGAGGGTTGATTGCTATTCTTTGGACCGAGGTAAGTGCTTGTTCTAACTTTGGCTTGAGGGAATAGGATTAGAGTGTTGTTTGCCATTTGCTAATTGTGAGTACGGTGTATAGGCATGGTGACGAGTATCTATACACCGGAGTCTAGCATGACCATGAGTCTTATTTGTGTTTATTCGGATTTTGTGATACCTCTTCCTTGCTAAATCGATAAATTTCATATAATGTGAAGAGTTTGAGGAAGAATTATGATTTGTACATTCTTGGAGCATTGGCTCGAGTATATCATAAAGCGTGAAAGTATATGAAATGATTGAACCCCTTTGGAGCGTTGGCTCAGGTGGTAAAGTGAGATAAGAGGTAAAATTGAAAGAAAGAGAAAGAATTATTGAATTGCTCCCTTGCCGGGATGCTTGTTGTTTTGTTGACTATCTCCCTTGCCGGGGTGCTGAGATTATTGATATTGTTCCCTTGTCGGGTTTTTAACTGCTTAATTGTGCTCCCTTGCCGTGAGTTTGTATTCCCTTGCCGGGATTTCTATAATTATTTGTCTACTCCCTTGCCCCTTTATTTGTGATTGTTGTTTGGGTGAGGAAGAGTGATAAAGCACGAAGGGTGATGCCGCGCATTGTTTGCTATTGTGAGAAAAGAGTGTAAAGCATGACGGATGATGCCGTGCCGCACGATGTACCATTCCGTGCCGATTTTATTGATTATATGGTGAGGAAAGAGAGTAAAAGCATGAAGGGTGATGCCGTACATATTTTATTTATATGATTGCTTTGGTGAGGATGAGAGTAAAAGCACGAAGGGTGATGCCATGCATTTGTTGCTTTCTAATTCTTTGTTGATATCCGAGTTATGTTGTTTCTTTCATTACTTGTTCTTATTTGATTTACTTCGAGGTTATAGATTTCCTTACCCTGTTTGCCTTGTGATTGTTGTTTGGGTGAGGAAGAGCGTAAAACACGAAGGGTGATGCCGTGTACTTTTTTGGTGAGAACGAGAGTAAAAGCACGAAGGGTGATGCCGTGTATTGTTTTTGGTGAGAACGAGAGTAAAAGCACGAAGGGTGATGCCGTGCAAATTGTTGATTTTTGATTCTTGTTGACATTTTGGCTTTGTTACTTCTTTTTGTTATTGAGGATTTCTATTTGAAACTGTTAGCTCCCCATAACATGCTCGCCCCTCTTAGCTGTTTAAATTCTGTATATTTCCTTTTATTGCATATATCTACACAAGTTATTTTTGGTAGGTCCTGTCTAGCCTCGTCACTACTTCGCCGGGGTTAGGCCAGGCACTTACCAGCACATGGGGTCGGTTGTGCTGATGCTACACTCTGTGCATATTTTTGCACAGATCCAGGAGCAGCTTTTGGACCTCAGCAGTAGGATTTGATCGGGAGCTGACTTCAGTCCAGAGACACCGAGGTAGCCTTGCTGACGTCCGCAGGCCCAGAGTCTCTCTCTCTCTCTCTCTCTCTATTTATTTAGTTTGTTATCTTTTGTATCGAAACAAACAGTTTATAACTTTCTTTCAGACGATTATATTTAGTAAATCTTAGAAGTTCGTGAGCTTTATGACACCAATCTTGGGTAGAGGATTATGTTAAACCTTCCGCATTTAATCCCAGTTATGTAAGTTTAAAGACTTCCGCTTTTATTTAATTGTCTCGTGTTGCTTATATTGTTGCGATTGTTATCAGAAATGTTTTAATACTTGGCTGGCCTAGCTCCAATAGTAGGCGCCATCACGACTCCCGATGGTGGGAAATCTGGGTCGTGACAAGTTGGTATCAGAGCACTAGGTTACTTAGGTCTCACAACTCACGGACAAGCTCGGTAGAGTCTGAGGGATCGGTACGGAGACGTCTGTATTTATCCCGCAAAGGCTACTGAGTTAGAAAAACTTCACATCTGTTATTTCTTGTCGTGCGGTTCTATTTCCCCAATACTGATTGAATTTCTACTCCGTTCTTTCGCAGATGGCGAGGAAACATGCTTCCTCATCGATCCCACAGCAGTCCGAGCCCCCAGCAGCAGCTCCTGTTAGGGGCAAAGGGCGAGGCCGAGGCAGGGGCAGAGCTCAGCCCCGAGCAGCAGTCCCAGAGGTGGAGCCTCATGTTGATTATGATGATGAGGTTCCAGCTCCAGCAGCTCCGGTAGGGCCAGCTCAGGTCCCAGAGGGTTTCATTGACACCCCAATTATTCAGGACACCCTGGTTCGATTGGTGGGCCTTATGGAGAGAGTCACCCAATCAGGTTTGCTTCCTGTGGCACCAACCACTTCTTAGGCTGGAGGAGGGGCTCAGACTCCTGCTACACGCACTCCGGAGCAGGTAGCTCCCCAGATTCAGACTCCAGCGGTTCAGCCAGTTGAGGTAGTTCAGCCGGGTGCCATAGCTCAGACCGGCAATGGAGCGGCTATATCCATCGATGCTTTGTGGAGACTGGATAGGTTCATCAAGCTCTTCACTTCTACTTTTGCCGATGCATCTACTGAGGATCCCTAGAATTATCTAGATAGCTGCCACGAGGTTCTCAGAAATATGGGTATTGTTGAGACCAATGGGGTTGATTTTGCTACATTTCGCCTGTCTGGATCCGCCAAGACTTGGTGGAGGGATTATTGCTTAGCGAGACCAGCCGGATCGCCATCTTTGACTTGGGAGCAGTTTACAGTGTTGTTTCTAGAGAAGTTTCTCCCCGTTACTCAGAGAGAGGCCTACCAGAGGTA